TGGCGCCATAGTTTTCACGTGACAAATAAGAAAAGTTCGTTTGGCTTTGTACGGTTGTATCGTAGTGAATTTTAATAAAAATTCAATTAAAAAAAAAAAATACGTAAACTAGGCCACTGATATGAAATACGGACCCAATTAATCGAATTCTTAAACTAATAAAAAAAGTCCGGTCTTGAAATATCAATTTGTTCGGGAGTAATCGGAGGTACATCCAAAATGAAGTGACATCCGGACATCCACGTAAAATTTTTTTTGTTATACTTGCTCCAGAAGTTCAACTTCTGAGCGCTGGGTGGCGTCCGTAAAGGGTCTTTTTTAGAGACTCTACCATACCGTCTCTTTTTCACGGCCTAGGCCGTGAAGTTTTACCCCCTCCTTTTTTTACGAACTTTTCATGTATACTAGGGTGGTCGTTAAAAATTAAATTTTTTCCGGCGCCCGAAAAAATCCTTCCCTTTGACGAAAAACTACGGGAAAAATTTTGCTTTTTGATTTTAAACAAAAAGAACACGTGCCGACGGTCAATTGAAGTTCATTTTTCGATAAAATTATAGTTTTTCGAAATATTTGTCACAGTATTTAGATTGGGCAAAAAATCTTGAAAACAGGCTAGTAGGAAATTAAATTCTCTACAAAACGGTTCCTTTTGGTTTCAGATGAAGTTCATATCCATCGAGATAATCCTATTAGTAAACTTATAAACTCTATTAAGTCAGTCATTTAAGCACTAAAAACTTTATTTTTCCAGAAATATGAACAATTCTCTCAAAATATTCTGAATTTTCGATATTTTCTCCATATTATGACGTGAGTAAATGATTTTCAATTTAATACTTTTCAAATGAAACCTCTATCGTTAAGTTATCTATTTCAAAAAAATTCTGAGAGCCGTTTTTTATAGGGTAGAAAAGGATGGAAAACTTTCGGCCAAATCGAAAAGGGTCGGGGTCAAAAGTGGTCGATTTGGCATGGAATACCCCATATACATTACGCTACACCGTCCATCTTACGGTCCACATTTTAAAAATTAAATATGCTGTGAAGCGGGAAAGAATAGGAGTTATTATTACGTGAAGCATTCACGTAACAGGATAATTGGGAGCAAATGATTGAGATAGGAATTGGAAAAGACCTTCTTAATGTGAGTTTACATAATAAGCAAGATGAAATTTTTCATATTTCCGGAAAAATAAACATTTTAATGCTAAAATGACTGACGTAATAGAGTTTATAAGTTTACTGATGAGATTATTTCGATGGATATGAACTTCATCTAAAACCGAAAGGAACCGTAATTTTGTAGAGAATTTAATTTCCTACAAGCCTGCTTTCATGATTTTTTGCCCAAATTTAAATACTGTGACAAATATTTCAAAAAACTATAATTTTATCGAAAAATGAACTTCAATTGACCGTCGGCACGTGTTCTTTTTGTTTAAAATCAAAAAGCAAAATTTTTCTCGTAGTTTTTCGTCAAAGGGAAGGATTTTTTTGGAAGCCGGAAAAAATTTAATTTTTAACGACCACCCTAATGTACACCCAGACGAAATTGAGAGAGATTGTAAAAAAAAAGTCACATTCTAGCGAACCGACTGATAATTTTTAGTCTTAGTTACTATTGAGTGACGCTAATTATTTCTCTGCTGGCAGTTTATTACGAAGCGGACCTAATGTTAATAAAATAACAGCGTCATAAATAAATACTAATAAAAAGTTATTTACATTTTGTCACAGTGTTTACACGCTGTGGCATTTCCCGCCGAGCTTGAGCACACTGGTGTCGGATGCTCCGCTAGATGGCGGCACGTCCTGGGCGAATAAATTAAAATTTATTAGAAAATAAAATCTAGTTTTAAGTTTGTATTATTTATTTGTATTTTATTTCAGCCCAAAACCCGATCGAGGTAATCGCCGGCGACTAAAAGTATTAAGAGACAAATTTAATCATTTAGTTTAAATGATTAATTTATTTAATTAAGTTAATTTAAAAGTTTACGGGGCTCAAGTGAGCAGCCGACGGGCCTGAGGGCGCCCGAGGTCCCCAGTTTGGAGCATACGAGCCTGAAGCTCGGCTCAAATTTATGCTTAAAACTCACGTTTGGTTTATTTGTTAAATGATTATCTAAATAATGGCCATGATTGTCATTAAATTAGTATTTCACGTGGGTACCGGCTCGATTCATGTCCCGGGGGAGAATTATTTATCACGCGGTGGAATTGAACTTTTCAAAAAAACAACACTGGCATTGGCCGAGGTGACGGAAAGTCCCTCGAGAGGGCAGGTCAGTAGTTGTAACTGGCAGTATGCTGCCGGTGAAAATAGGAGTCACAGGCGTGAAATAATAAGTAACGCATCTGTGTGTTCAAGCCGTTATAGCATAAAATCATTTATAATTGTTATTCAGTTAACATAGTGATTATTTATCAGTTTTTATTTAATCCACCGAGAGTATCTTGACCAGGCGACTTGACAAATCTCGGTAAGTCTTTGGCATTATTCCAACGTGGTGATTGTTGAGATTCTCCCAGGCGGGATCCAGCGCCGGTTTCCCACGTGAGGCCGCCATCTTGGCCACGTGGCTGGCACGTAGTAAATTAATTGCGTTGAATTATTTGATAATAAATTCAAAAACAAGTATGATCAAACGTGAGTTAATTCATTAAATAAAATTGAATAAAGGCCTCTCGGGGGAAATTTCACGGCGGTTGATCGCCTGATCGCGTCCTGTGGCTCGTGTCAAAATTTTATTGCGCAGTTATTAAAATATAAATTTGATCCTGCGATATTTTTATAATTGTTCTTGTACGCAATTTATTATTATTATTATGTTCATGATATTTCGGAAACGAATAACTATTGATGCAGTTAAATATTAATTAATATTGATGTTATTAATTTGAACATTACTTTATAAATAATATTAGTGAATATTATTATTATTATTATTATTATTATTATTATTATTATTATTATTATTATTGTTTATGCTTTGCGATTAAATTTTTAAAAGTCAGCTAATGCAATGTGCGATTAACGTTATTTTGTTATAACTATTACTAATTTTTGAAAACAGTGTGATTAACGACATTGAATGTCGAATATTATGAATTAATTTATAATTGGCGAAACAAATATTATTTTGCATTATTTGTGAATGTTATTTTGCATTATTCATGAATGGCATTCTGTATTATTTATAATTATCATTTTGCGTTATTTAAAGCTATTATTGATAAATATTGATTGCCACCGCTGGCATTTTTGTAAGCAAATCGTATTTAATATTATTTAGATCTGAATACTGTAAAAATTATTTTGCGATTATTATTATACTCAAACGCAGATGCGACATATTTGAGATTAACAAAAATTAATTATTGGTTAAGATATTCAAAAAGAATTTAATTTGTATACAAAAATAGAAATAAGTCGGTCTGCGAGGATCTCAACAATTTTAAACTCTGAGGCCGTAATTAAAATAAATCTATATATGAAAATTTATTTAATTAATTAATTTAGTAACTTTTCGAATTACTTCCTTTCTGCTAACTCTTAATTTCTTGTATTTTTCCTACAACTCATTTTTCCTATTTTATAATTAATTTCTTACCATTCCTATTTCTCACTCTCCTATGATATCAACTGTGGTTATTTCGTGGTTCATTTCACATTCACGTGGTTTCAAGTCGTTAATTGATCGTCCGGCGCGGCCCCTGGCATTTTATTAATTTTGGTAATTTTTAAATAAAATTACCTGGCGTCCTTTTTCGTGCACTAACCCAGCCTGAGGAGTTTCAGGTTCATTTTATTACTATTCATTGAAAAGGGCGAGCGTAAAAAACTTTACCCAGCCGGTATCTCCGCCTCCGGTGAAAATTTATTAAAATTTCGGGGACAGTTTTGTTACAATTTTATTGACGTGAGCAAGATTTTAAGATTAATAGAAAGATAATTAATGTAAAATTAATTTTTTTTGCCCTTGTGAAACTTCAGAAAATTTAAATATGTCATTATTTGCCTCCTATCCCTCAAAAGTTAAACTTATGGAGCGATAATAACAAAAAATGTTGTATGTCATTCGGCCGTTTAGTGGCAATTTTGACAACGACTTTTTTTCGATATTCGCTTTAATGTTTGTGACGCGAATGTTCGAAAACGAGTGCAAATTTCCGTTAAAATTGCGCCCGTTTCGAACCTTCCCGCCACAAACCTTAAGCTCATATCCAAATATCGTCGCTATCAGAAAATCGCCACTTCACGGCCTTATGACATAAATATCTATTTCAAAACGTTTTTTTTTTTTTCCAAAATAGCAACATGAAATGATTTCAGAAAGTAAAAGATGGTTCAATTTAAGTGTTTTTTCGATGCACATCTACTTATATAATTGTATAAGTGTAATATGGTTGTGATAGAGGCATTTAAAGATCACAAAATTGCTTGACCTTGACGAGTCGAGTATAAAGCACAACCTCACGCGCTTCGCGCTATTAGGCGTGCAAAAGTTGTTTGTGCATTTGACCAGACTCACCTACACGGAAAAAAAATCGTATGAAAAATTACAATAGTAACATCGTAATCTAGGACTTGTTTTTCAATATCTTAACTTCTATGATTTTCTATTTTGAAAATTACTATTTACTCATGAATTTTGACGATTTTAACATCGTAATTATCACAAATAATGTGAGTAATAAATAACATAAAAATTCTTACGATGTTGCCGTCTACAGAATACAATTTGAATTATTGAAAATAAACCGATCAAACGAGCTCGCCGAAGGCGAGCAAAGTTCGATCGATATTATGCGAAGACGTCTCGTTCGAAGATGATTACAGATGTAGTAGCGTCAGTTATGTCCAAATCCACAACTTTCAGAGTTTAAACTTTTAAAATTCTCAGTGCTGCCACCCTCGTCAGTGGCGCTCTATACTACCTACTTACCTCATATATTTTAGAGTTTTTTAATTTATAATTAAAGATTAAGGAAATTTAGTTCATCGTCTAATTTCAGAAGATGATTACGGGTAAGGGGTATGATTTGTTTTACTTATACATGAAAAAATAAAATTTTTTTTTTTTTTGTGTGGTGGGAAGTAATCATCTCTGAACGAGACGTCTTCGCATAATATCGACCGAACTTCGCTCGCCTTCGGCGAGCTCGTTTGATCGGTTTATTATGCTACGACGTCTCGTTCTCGATGATTACAGATGTAGATATTCAGAGATATTTAATTTCCTTTCTCTTTAATTTTTTTTTATTTGGTGTAAGTATGAGAAAGAACTCATTTATTTATTTCTTCTAATTTTATTTACTGAAGCATGCAAAATTTAAGTGAGTCAAATATTTATGTAAGAACACTTCGTGCAAATGAATCATTTGGTTCTTGAATGGGCCTATTATAAAATCTGGCAAAGACAGATGATTACTTAGACCATCCCGCAGTCCGTCTAATCGTGTTGATGTCAATCCCCCGAGCATTTGCTTTTGAAACCTCAGCGTGTTTAGCACTGTACGCGCTGAACTGAGTTGTATCGACTCCAGCCTTCGTCAGAAAGTCTTTTACCCAATGGCTGAGTGTTTGAGCGCCTACAGCCTTATGTGGTTTAACAGTAGAGATAAACAGAGTTTTTCTGTTCCTCCTTAACTTTTTAGTCACTTCCAAATATTTTAAGAGAGATCCAGCTTCACGATTTTGCGTGTCATCATGTTTAACAAATATAAATAATGCTGTGAAGCGGGAAAGAATAGGAGTTACGGATAATTATTACGTGAAGCGTTCCAACATTCACGTAACAGGATAATTGGTAGGAAAGGATTGAACAAAAGTCATTCTAGTCGCACTATGCCCATCTTACGGCTAGCATTTTTAACAAATATAAATAATGTTGTGAAGCGGGAAAGAATAGGAGTTACGGATAATTATTACGTGATTATTCCGTGGAGAGAACCAGGATCCTCGAACCTCCAACTACTACCTTTCGCAACTGGTACGAGAAGGTAGGCATCTTTAAGGTCTATAGACGCCATGAAGTCATTTAATGTTAGAAGATTTTTAACAGTCCTAATGTCTTCCATTTTAAAATGAGGAGCTGAAAGAAATTAATTTAGATTTTTTAAGTTCAGTATAAATCTATGAGAACCATCCTGTTTTTTAACCAAGAAATAAGTTGAAATAAATTGGTTCTCGACAGAATGAAATTTTTCTATAGCCTTTTTATTGGGAAGTTTGTCGACTTCCATTTCAATTAGCCTTTCCTCATTTTTTGACCAAATTCGTTGCTCAGGAACAGTATTTTGGTGTTGAATATTCTGGAAACGGATTGAATATCCTTTCAAACATGATAATATAAAATTATCTGTTGTTATATTTTCCCATTCTTTTTTGAAAAAATATAACCTACCACCTATGGGTAGCTTTCTTACCTCTGTAACTTCTTCGACGATTCCATGAAGTCCCGGCTCTTTTCCCGAGTAGATGTCGGATTTCTGCGGTTCTGAGTTCTCGACTTGAAGCGCGAAAATCTCCGATGGTTGACTGGGTCCGTCTGTCTGTATTGAGAAGACGGGCCTTTTCAGTTTCCCTGGGCTTGAGAACTCGAAAACTGTTTCTTAGAAGTTTTTTCAAAGCCCTTCAAACTTTGACAGGCACTTTCGATAGTTTTGGCTTCTTTAATTTGGTCTGCCAATTTATCACCATCAAGGCACTCTTCTGAGTGGATTGAATCTACCAGTGTCTTCACACTCTTTTTCATAACTGGTGTCATATATGCCTTTCTAGCTGCTGAGTGCTGATGAAAAGTTTCAGCTAGTAATTTCCCAGTATCGCTGAGGTACTCCAAGAGCTTTAGCTTATCGACTTCCTCCTCCGGATCTTTAAGGAGTAGTGAGATAGCAGATCCAACTGTAATAATTGCCGTTCCCACGTATTCCTAAATTTGCACAAAATGCTGGTCTCTTTTCTTGGTTACTTCCGCCAGAGCTCCCACAATCTCTAAATTTATTTTGGGAGGTTCAGTATATAGCTCTCTTTTTCTCACATACTTTTTAAGTAAATTATTTTTCACTTCATCAGAAAGACCTTCTTTTATCCAAGTCTTCCAGCGGTTTTTTATTTCTGTGTGGAGCTCAACTGAATTGTCCAACTTAACATCAGGATCCTCTTACAAAATTTCTAGTACCTCCGAGCCTAATGCCGATCCATCCTTTTGGGATTCTTCAGCTTGTACCTTGGTTGGGGAACTAACTGGTTCGGGAAACCATTGACGCAGTTGAGAATTGGCTCGAGAAACATCATCTGAAACTCGCCAAGCAGAAAACTGGGATCGTCGTCTTGACCTGACAAAAGTGGTTCCCAAAACCTTTCGTTATCGACATAGGCGGGACAACATTGACATCTACAAGGGCACTGCATTGTTTAGGAGTAGTGATCGACGAAAAGCTGTCGTTCCGAGAACACCTCGAAAACGCTTGCGCGAAAGCTAATAAGACAGTATCCAATCTGTCGAGAATTATGACTAACATGGTGGGACCACGAACCAGAAAAAAGAGAGTGCTTCTAGAAGTTGTCCACTTGATACTACTCTACGGAGCGGAGATATGGGCAGATATTCTTAAACAGAAGACCTACCGGCGCAAGATAGCGGCAGTGCAACGACGAAGAGCGCTCAGAGTCACCTGTGCCTACCGCACGGTCTCAGAAGGAGCCGCATTGGTCATAGCAGGAGCCGCGCCAATCAAGTTACTAGCATTCGAGAGGGCGAAAATCTACGGCGTCAAAATAAATGGTGACAACTTTAAGGAGGCAAAAGCAAAGATAAAGACGGAAACGCTACATGAGTGGCAGGACCGATGGACAACCGAGGAAACAGGCAGGTGGACGGCACGCCTGATTCCGAACATAAACGTCTGGCTTTCTCGGAAACACGGAGAAACGGACTTCTTCCTGACCCAGCTATTGACGAGACATGGGCAGTTTAATGCCTATCTTTTCAAGATGAGTTTGCACAGCACACCAGCATGCAAATACTGCCCAGATAAAATTGACAACGCCGAGTACACGTTCTTCAAGTGTGATCGGTGGAAGGACGACAGAAGCAGCACCGAAGAAACAATTGGCACCACGCTCTCCCCTGAGAGCTTGGTAACCTGCATGATCAAAAAAGAAGAAAACTGGTCAGTTGTCGCAGCCTACGCGCAGCGCCTTTTAAAAAAAAAAAATCGCAGAAAAGGACTAGAAACGAGTAGTAACCAGAAGTAGGCGTCGTGAGACGCAACATGGACTGGATTGAAGTAATGCTAACGTGTAACACACACACACACACACACATGCTTGATGCCCGTCTCAACTTTAAACAGCAAGTGGAACACGTCAGTGCCAAAGCGTCAGTAGTAAGGGCAAGCCTCGCACGATTGATGCCTAACGTCGGAGGCCCAAAGCAGAGCAGGAGGCTATTACTGTCATCAGTAGTCACATCGGTGCTCACTTACGGAATATCTATTTGGGCCGATGCGCTAGAATTAAAAGAAGCATGGAGAAAGGCTGGACCAGTTTATCGTCTGAATGCCCTAAGAGTAGCTTGCGCCTTCCGCACAATATCTGAGGAAGCAGTGTGCGTCATTTCTGGAACTCTACCTCTCAGAGTCCTAGCTAAAGAAAGAAGCAACCTTTACCAACGAAAGAGGTCAACAACACTGAGCGCAGAAGAACTCAGAACGGAACAAAGACAGCACAGCATCGCACGATGGCAATCTCAGTGGGATGCCGCAGAGAAGGGTAGATGGACGCATCGTCTCATACCAAAGATCGACATTTGGCTGAACCGGAATCACGGTGAGGTCAACTACTACCTAACACAGATGTTGTCAGGACATGGCTGTTTTCGGGCTTATCTTCACCGCTTTACGCATGACGATTCTCCGGAGTGCCCTTCCTGCCCTGGAGCCACTGAAGATGCAAAGCACGTTTTTTTCGAGTGCTCGCGTTTAAATCAACAACGTGAGGAGCTGGAGAAAATCCTGAAGAAGACAATTCAACCAGAGACAATCGTAGAAGCAATGCTGACTTCAGAAGCTGCCTGGAATGCAACAAACACTTTTGCCACACAAGTGCTTACAGAGCTGCGTTCCATCAAGAGAAAAAAAGCAAAAGACAGAACCTAGAAGGAAGAAAACATCTCAGCCACCAGAAGGAAGAGCGGCAGCTAATTCCACCCCCCGCGAAGAAATGCCTTACGGCAGTACCATGGGGGATCAGAGGATAGAAGAAAAAGGGGTTTAGGGTTTAGTGGGTAGGAGCGTCAGCGTCAAGTTTTAGT